CTCAGTCATGCAAATATCAAACACATTTCCCTTTACCAATACTTATTTTTTACCATGAAGAACCCCAATAAAACCCCACCCCCCACCCCTCCCCGTCCCTGTGAGGCAGATGAATTCTAGTTAACACTCTATCTGCTTTGATTAGATTCATTGTTTCAATAAAAGATTCACCACTATTATTTAGAGTTTACCCCCCCCCCCAAATCAGACATGCTGAAAAAGCATTGTGAAGTGATTTGCTTTCTACGGCTGGGTTCAAGAATTAAATGTTGGTTTTGGATTTCTGCTCTTTTACCTATTGACCCTGGAAGTATTTCTACTGAAAGTCAGATAGTTAAGAAATTGGTTTCTGTGTTCTGGAGTCCTGGCCGTGGTGGAGAGCCGCTCGCGGGGGGCAACCGGTGGCCTCGGTAGGGCGTGAAGGGCGGAGCGAAACGCCCCCCTTCCCATGAGGTTTTAGTCGCCCCCACACTCCCGGCTCATACCTGCTGTCCACAAGGCTCCCATGTGGCCGCCATCTTTCTTTCCAGAGAGGAGAGGGCGAATGGGGCAACACCCTTTCCCCTCCGGCAGACTTGATGGCCTGGATCAATGCATAGTCCGTTCACTTTTCTGCTCCAAGCTGCTGGGTTCTGCATTAAGTCCTTGTGCTTCTGGGGCCGTGGCCGTGCTGGAGAGCCGCTCGCGGGGGGCAACTGGTGACCTCGGTAGGGCGTGAAGGACGGACCAGAACGCCCCCCTTCCCATGAGGTTTTAGTCGCCCCCACACCCCCGGCTCATACCTGCTGTCCACAAGGCTCCCATGTGGCCGCCATCTTTCTTTCCAGAGGGAGGAGGGCGGAAGGGAGCAACACCCTTTCCCCTCTGGGCAGAAATGATTGCCTGGATTAACGCATAGTCCTTTCACTTTTCTGCTCCAAGCTGCTGGGTTCTGCATTAGGTCATTGTGCTTCTGGGGCTGTGGCCGTGCTGGAGAGCCGCTCGTGGGGGCAACTGGTGGCCTCGGTAGGGCGTGAAGGGCAGACCGAAACGCCCCCCTTCCCATGAGGTTTTAGTCGCCCCCACACTCCCGGCTCATACCTGCTGTCCACAAGGCTCCCATGTGGCCGCCATCTTTCTTTCCAGAGAGGAGAGGGCGAATGGGGCAACACCCTTTCCCCTCCGGCAGACTTGATGGCCTGGATCAATGCATAGTCCGTTCACTTTTCTGCTCCAAGCTGCTGGGTTCTGCATTAAGTCCTTGTGCTTCTGGGGCCGTGGCCGTGCTGGAGAGCCGCTCGCGGGGGGCAACTGGTGACCTCGGTAGGGCGTGAAGGACGGACCGGAACGCCCCCCTTCCCATGGTTCCTCCTGGTTTTGCACTCAGGAATTACTCCTGGTGGTGCTCAGGGGACCCCATATGGGATGCGGGGAATCGAACTCGGGTTGGACACATGCAAGGCAAATGCCCTCCCCGCTGTACTATTGCTCTGGTCCCCCCTTGGTTGGTTTTTATCCCAAAGCTAAAGAGCTTCTGGGTGCAGTTGTCCAGCTCTCTGTGCCAGGCTCCGCCGAGACCCCTCTCCCCTCTTCCCTTCTTTGCCCTGGGAGTGTGCCCATGGCAGCCCTGTTGGCTGCTCCCGGCACATCTCTATCCCTGCTACCCAGGGCAGCATTTTGTTTTGGGGGTGTTTTTGTTTGTGGGCCACCCCTGGCATTGCTTTGGGGCTGACTCCTGGCTCTGTGCTCAGGGATCACTCCTGGCAGAACTTGGGGACCTCATAGGGTGAAGCCGGGCTGGCCGTGTGCAAAGCCATCTCCCTCCCTGCTGTGCCGTCACTCAGGCCCAGTCCTGAGCACTGGGGTCCTTTTCCCCAACCCCCCCCCCCAATTCAGATATCTTTTCATTGGGGTCTTCGGATGAACATGCCTGCATACAGAGGTTCAGAGTGGAGAGGGATCTGCGTGCAGGCGGGGTGTGACCCAAGTGTGGAAAGGTCCTGGGGAGACTCAGTTGAGGCTGGGTGGTGGGTGGGCAGCCAAGAGCCCAGGAGGGAAAGACCAGCCTGTGTGCATCTGGGAGTGGAGGAGACCCCACTCCAGTGGCCAATCCATCTAGAATGAAATGCAACAACCTTCACACACTTCCCGCTTCTTGTGGTGGGAAGGTGCTCGGGGGTGGGACTGGTATTCGACTATTATCTGTAGTGAACTACTATGAACTACTTTTATAAAAATAAAATATATAAAAATTGCAAAAAAAAAAAAGGTCAATCCAGGGCCAGCAGGACCAAGGGACGGGTTGAAATCTGCAAGCCCCCCCCCAAATAAACAGCAGGCTCTGCCCCCCCCCATTCCAGACCAGAACTTCCACCATCCACAATTCTGGAACCTCCCTAGCCCACCTGCCCACCCCCCCAGAGTCAGGCCTGAGGTCTGCAGCCCCCAGGAAGCCCTGCCTCCCCTCCCCCACCCCACATGTCCTGCTGCATCCTTTCCACCCTGATGGCTCTTGGGGGAGCGACACAGGAGAGGGCCCTGGGGTCCTGGGGGCCCAGTGGAGTGTGGAGGAAGTTGGGGAAGGATGGGTTGTGGGGGGCTCATCCTCTGGCTGGGTCCAGGCCTGCCCCGGGGAAGGGGCTGGGGATGTCACAGTGAACAGAAACCATGAGACGCAGCATTGTAGCCCTTGGGTTTGTTTATTTTTCAATAAACAATGTTTTTTGCTTGTCTGGAAAGGAGGGGGCAGAGAAGCTACGAGGAGCCACCGGTCTCTGGCCTGTTCCTGCTCTCAGAGACGCCTGTCCCTGCCGTCCATGCTGGGTCGACGCTCTCCTCGCGCTGCTCCGCGGGTCGGGACCACAGGCTACTCCACACACACCAGGGTGCGTGTGGCCATCAGGGGACCGCGCCCTCTCAGCAGACTCGGGCTGGGGGGTACCAGCCACATCTGCCCGCGTGAAGCCGCCATGAGGCTGCTGACCCGCTCTGATCTCGCAGGGGGGGTGCCCACAGCACGGTGGGGTTTGGGGGGCACTTGGGACCATGCGTCCATGGGAGGTGAGGAATGGGGCGAAAGTGGGGGCGGTGCTCGGGGCTCCCTGCCTGCAGCATGCTGGGGCGTCTGGGGACGCCTGGCCCTCAGCAGCTGCTCCCTAGAGGGTGGACGGAGGGATGAGGGGTCGGGCAAGGGGGGATGGGAGGAACAGAGGCCAGAATTTGGAGAATTTGGCTTTCTCGTGCCATCTCGGATTGTGGCATTTGGGGAAACTGAGGATCAGAGCTGTCAGCGGACTCAGCCGCGGGCTCACGCCGAGAGGCCGGGCAGGGCACCAGGCACCTGCCCAGCAGCCAACCGTTACTTTTTTTTTGTCTTTTTTGTATTTTAGTTGGGAACATGAAGTCCAAATGGGATGTGGTGAAGATGTAAGTGGCTTGGTTGGGGACAGGGATGGGAACTGGGGGCGAGGGCGGGAGGGGTGATGGGGAGGGGCTAAGGAGGGAACAGGGATGAGAGGGGAGAAGGGGGTGGCAGTGGTTGGGGCGGGGTGGGGGGCTGGGACCTTGCCCGGCTTTGAACCGGGAGGAGGAAGGAGCAGAGGAGATGATGAGGTGACATGACAGGTGACGCAAGGTGGTGTGTGGAGGTGACCGGGATGGTGATGATGACACGATGGCAGCTTGCTGGGGGCGGGTTAAGCACAACAGGTAACACGCAATCAAGCTAAGAGGCTAGAGTCCTACCAAATTATTTACGAAGCAAAATATTTCGAACGGGCACCCAGGGGTTGTTTAGGACCGACTGCCGCAGTCGGAGCAAACAGAACTCCGTCCCAATTCCTTCTTCTCTATTTTTTTCCGTTTTTTTTTTTTTTTTTGCAAAAAAAAATAGACGCTCTTTTTAAAAAAAGTAAATTTGTAACTCCAAAGCTGGCTAGGTGTTTCGCGATCTGAGGGTTATTAACTGAGCAACACAAACGGAACCCACGCCGCGTGTGGGCCAGGCCACGGGCAGCAATTTTCCACAGAACCCAAGAACTTCCCCTTGGGGTGGGGTGGGGTGGGGCTGGGTGGGGCTTCGTGGCCCGCTCAGATTTTTGCCAGGGGCACTTGTGGTTCAAGGTGCGATTAAATTTGGGGGACACCTCTCCTCAAGAGAGGGTCGAGTTTCAGAGTGATTGGGGTGGGGGCAGCCGAAGTTGCCCCCTGGCTACAAGCTGGGACTCAAAGGGGACACAGTTCCCGAACAGAGAGAGGGGCGGGAGGCCCCTCTCCCCACACACACGCTCTCTGAGAACCGCAGCTGGACTTGACGTCTGTCAATCAACTGAGCAGCCGGGACAGGCCGAAGCCTCGGGGTCCCGGCTAACTCCCTGTCGGCAGACCCTAATTTCTAGGGTGCAGACTGTTCTGACTGTATCCTCTCCTTCCGAATTCAGAGTCTCGAGGGGCAAGAGGGGGTCGTGATGGTGGCTGAGTCGGCGTCCCTCCCTCGAGAGAGGAAGGCGCCTGAGGTGGGGCGGGGGACTGGCCAAGGGTCACACAGCGAGTCTGTGGCGGGGTGGGGACAGAGTCCCCGCGCCCCCCAGTAGCCCGCCTGGGGGTCCCCGCGGCCCTTGCCTACCACACGGCACTCTGAAAGCAGGAAGGGGGTGTGATGTCAAGGCTGGATGTGAGTGAGTGGAACACGGCGAGTGAGGACAGACAGACGGACGGACGAGCGTGGGGTGCATCACAGTGACCGGTCGAGCACGGCACTCGTAACGGTTTCACGGGGACCCCGCGGCCGAGGCCCCTCGCAGAGGGAGGGGCGTCGACCCGGGTCCCGGTTCTGTTGCCATGTTTTTTTTTGGTCTTTTTTAAAAAGATGATTTTGTTTCACGAATCACAGGACGAAGAACCACATATTTAAATCCTGGACTAGGAGAGAGATGAAACTCTTATTATTCTCTTATCTCATGCAGGAGGGGGCCGGGGGCGGGGGTGGGCGGCGGGAGTGGGGGGGGGGCGGCTCATCATCACACGGCCGCGCAGAGGGGGTACAGGGCCAGGTAGCTCCCGCCGGAGGGGACACAGCACAGCACAAACTCCCACAGCAAGAGGAGCACGGAGCGCCAGCAGCGCGCACCGCGCACGCCCCCGACCAGCGCCGGGCCGCCGGGCACGCGGCTCACATCTCGTCGGCCTCCGCGGCCGGCTCCTTGTGGAAGGCCACGGCGTCCCCCTTCTCGGGGAAGATGATGTTGACCGCCAGGTCGTCCCCGCTGCTGTACTGCAGCAGCGGGTTCTGCTTCTTGTGCAGCAGGCGGTGGTGGCGCAGGTGGCCCATCCAGCCCTCGCACTTGTGGTAGAAGACGACGCCCAGCGCGGCGGCCAGCAGCAGGCCGGCCAGCACGCCCAGCACGGTGAAGCAGATGGTCTGGCCCTCGGACAGCAGCGGCGCGCTGGGCTTGAGCTCCTTCACCGACACCTTGAGGACGTGGTGCTCGGCCTGCGGGGGCGGCGGGGGCCGGCGCGTGGCGGGTGACGTGCCCGGGGCCCGGCGGCGGCCGCACAGGGGCCCCGTGAAGTCGGGCGTGCACACGCACTCGAACCTCACCGGGCCGTGGCGCACGCAGGTGCCGCCGTGCAGGCAGGGCGCCGCGGCGCAGGTGCTCACCAGGCGGCTGCAGGTCTTGTCCATGAAGCCGGCTGGGCAGCGGCAGCGGAAGTCGCCCCCGATGTCGGTGCAGATGCCCCGGTTCTCGCACGGGTTCGGGGTGCAGCTGCTGGCCACGATCTCGCAGAAATTGCCTGAGAAGCCAGGGGGGCACAGGCAGGAGGCATGGGGGGCCCGGCCGTCATCGTCCACACAGGTGCCTCCGTGCTGGCAAGGGGAACTGCAACACAGGAGGAGGAACAGGGTGACGGGCCCTCGGGGCAGCGTCCCGCGTGGGCTGCGGCCTGGGAGGACACGCCTGGCTCCCCCAGGGGGGGCCCCCGAGGCTCTCGCAGCACCTCTGCGGCCCGAGCACTGGTGGTTAGTCACTGCGCAGGGCGGGGGAAACTGAGGCTGAGAGAGGCAACATTAGCGACAAGCCAGGGCCGCGCTCTGTCCCCCGGGGACAGGAGCGGGGAGCGAGGCCAGCGGGTCCCCTCCGCTTCTCCCCCCAGCCCCCACCCCTTGGTTGGTGTTTTTCCACCATCAGCTATTGTGCGGGGAAGCCCCTGGGGGTCGCTGTGCTGGGCCTGGGGGTTGCTATCTGGGCCCCCACACCCGGGCAGGCAGCGTTTGCTCAGAGCCAGAACGCGGCACACAGAATGGAACGTCAACGACAGTCTCTGTCCACTGATGAACACCCAAACTCCAGGGTAGGAAAAAGGGACGTCCAGCCAAAGAGCTCAGTCCTACCGCCCACCCGCCCGCCCGCCCGAAGGGCTGCCCAGGGTTCCCGGGGGGTTTCAAGGAGCCCACGGGCTCTGTTTTGACAGAGTGGGTCCAGCCCGCACAGAGCGAGGCAAAATATTGTGGGGTTCTCACTCTGGATTTCACCCCTCGGCCCAGCGAGCAGAAATGGGGCTGGGCGGGTCTGGCTCCTGGGTACCACTTGCAGCACAAAGGGCCGGGCCTCCAGCACCCCAGGGGACCCCCCCTCCTGCCAGATAAGCAGCTTCTGCAGGTTCGCTTCCCTTGTCTTGGAAGAAAAGGCTACTCTGTGCCCCCAGCTGTGACTGGCTTTTCTCTGGGAGCTCCCACCTGGGCTGGGGTCTCTCCTGACCCTCAGCCCTTCTGCTTACAGCTGCTGCTGGGAGCCCCGCGGAGAGCAGCAGCCCCCTCCCCTCCACTGAGGATCCCCCCAGCTGCCCCCCACCTGAGGCACCCTAGGAACCCCTCTGCAGAGTCTGCCAGGGCCCCCCAGATGGGCCAGAAATACAGTGAGTGGGCGGGTGGGGGGGTGGTCAGGAAGCCCCTGAGAGCACTGAGCAGTGCAGAGCTGAGCCCCGCCCCCAGCCCACTGTCACTCATTCGCACAGGGATGGGGCAGGAAACCCCCAAGTCCCCCTTAGGAAAGAGGAGGGACCCCCCCACTGCCCGCCCTGACCTCAGGCAGGGCGGGCGGACCCCCGCAGGGCAGGATGGCGCAGACAGGCTGGTGTGTATTTACCCGTTGATGACGCAGGGCCCGGCCTTGGTCCCGCAGTCTCTCCCCGAGAATCCAGGGACACACGAGCACACGTAATTGCCCTTCTCCATGTTCACGCAGGTCCCGTTGTTGGCACAGGGAGCCGAGATGCAGCCCCGGACATCTGGGGGGCGGGGAGGGGGAGAGCACGGCCCGTCACCCCTCCCCCAGCACGGGGGGGAGGAGAGCCCCGAGGGCGCCCCCAGAGCTGCAGGGCCCAGGGCCGACAGGGCCTGGCAGGATGCGGCTGGGGCCCCCCATTCCTGCCTCTTCCTGGCTGGCCTCCCCCCACCTCTGCAGACCCCCGCCTTGTGGCTGTACACCCCCCCTTTTTTCACACCACTTCCTCATGTTTGGGGGGCCCTGCCAGGGGGGAGGAGTGCAGCCCCTCTGTTGGAAAGTCACCTCTCCTCTTCCGTCCAGGAGGCTGGTGTGCTGGGACCCCCCCACACTGCCTGGCCTCCAGGTGGTCTGTGCCAGCCACTCTGGGCTCAGGGAAGGGGCTGACAGCAGCTAGCAGCTCTTAAAGGCACAAACCCACCCGGGGCCTCTCCAGTACAGCCCCCATCCCCCACAGGTACCCCAACACCCGCCTGTCTCCTGGCTCCTCCTTCCGGCACAGGCCAGGGGACTCGGGCCATGGAGACCCCAAGCTTGGGGGAGCTGGGGAGGGGCCAGCCTCTGTCCTGCGCATCCTCCCAGGCCTCGCCCACCACCCAGGAGGGGCTCCGCCACCTTGCGCTGGTGGTAGTGGGGGAGGCTCAGATGGTTCTGAGGTTCGCCGGCCTCACAGGAGGCCCCCAGCAAAGACCCCTGAGTCAGGGCGCAGGATTGGGGGGAGGGGACTCAACACACTTGGGGTCTCTCTGCGAGAGCTGCGGGCCTGGCAGGGAGCCGGCAATCCATCAGCAGAAAGCGGCGGGTTGGGTGCGGGGAGGATTTATCATGATGAGGTTCAGGAACTGGATCCAGCAACCTCCAGTCCAGCCCGGGGGGGGGCCCCATATCCCAGGAGGAGGAGGGGGCTGCCTGCCACCAGGGAGATCGGGGTGGGGGTGCCCGGTACTCTGAGCTGGGGGTGGGGCCGCTTCCTCTAGACCCCTTTGTCCACCCAGTTAGTCTAGAAAAATCCCCCAACGTGGGGGTGGGGAGGGGGGTCGTATCTTCAGAGGCCAAACTCCTTGCTCCCCAAGGGGGCTTTCTGGGACCCTAAAGCCAGGGTCACTCTGGAGATGTCCTGGGCACAGACGGAGCCGCTAGGGTCAGTGTAAGTTGGCCCTGTGAGCCCTGCTCCACATGGCAGCTTTGGGGACCCCCCAGATGACGACAACAAGGCCTTTGTGGGAGCTTCTTTGAAATCCCTATATTCTGGGACGCTAACTACAGAATTTCCTTCCAGGCCGCCCTGCGGGGCTGGGGGAGAGGTGCAGCATCCCTGAGCCTCAGTTTCCCTCTCGCTGAGCCAGGGGGTTTGGGGAGACGCTCTCCTGCGCCTGGGTCTCAGTGCAGCTTTGGTCCAAACCCCCTCCCAGCCTTCAGCCGTTTCCCCCCTGGGTCTGGAGGCAGCCCGGCAGCGAGAGCCTGGTAATGCAGGCCTGGAAGTGCATAAATTAGCGCAATCAACAGCTAACACCAATCTGCGTCTTATCCACTTCTCAGACGGCTCGACCCCCAACCCAGCCCCCAGCGCCCCCCCAGCCGCCCCGCCACCAGCTCCCTCCCCCTCCCCTGCCCGGCTGCGGGTTGTCTCCTTAATCAGCTCCCCTGAGAATTTCCCAGAGCCCCCGCCCCTCCCTCCAGCCCTGGCCCTTCCTGGGGGCTCCATCGGGGATGGGGGTCTGCAACTCCCACTTCCTGGGGGGCACCGGCCGCTGATTCCGAACCTGGATTCTGGGGAGCTCTGGGTCTCCCCCTCTCTAGCTCCTCCCAGGCTGCCTCAGGCAGGCAGGGAAGAGCAGGAGGCATGGGGGAGGGGCGGGCTCTCTTGGGGGGCGCGGGGTGCCCACCTGCATCACAGAGGTCCCCTTCCCAGCCGTCCTCGCACATACACTCCCAGGGGCTCACGCAGAACCCATGAGCACAGCCAGGAAAGGTCACGCACTGGTCGCACAGGGGTCCCTGCCAGCCGGGATGGCACCTGTGGGAGGGGGAGAGGGATCCAGCAGAGGGTGAGGGGGACCACACTGCTAGCCGGGATCTGGAGACCCCTGCGTGGAGAAGCTCACGCGGGGACACGAAGGAGCAGATGGGGTGGGAGTCCCCAAAAGTCCCGAAGCAGAGCTGCTCATTGCCACAGGGCCCTGCAGGGGTGCGCCCCCTCCCATGAAGACCACCCCACTGCTGAGAAAGCAGGGCAGGCCCTCAGCTTCCTCTCCCTCCACTGCCCCTTAGTCTGGGGGTGGGTGAGGAAGGTGTTTATTGCGGCTGCACTGGGTCCCAGGAGCCCTTGAGGGGCACCCCGGCCCCCAGGAATCCCACCCCCCAGCTGCCCCCCCCCCTCCCCGTCCCTCTGTTACCTGCAGACGTTGTCATCGTGGCAAAATCCGTTTTGGGGGTGGCAGGCCGGGTGACATTCAGCTCCTGAGGCACAAGACAGGTTACCCATTCACCCGCCAGTCCCCCACCCCCGGTGGCAGGGCAAAGCACCCCCCCCCCACCAAAGGTACCCTCCAAACAGCCCTTCTGCCCTGCCAGGGCCCATGAGCGAGGCAGGATGCTTCCCTGGACCCACGCATGAGAGGCATCCGCAGCCCACTCTCTGCCCTCCCTCGAGTGCCCAGGCTCTGCCTGCCTGTCAAAGGGGCGTCAGGCACCTCATTTCCCCCCCAGAGAACCAGCGACACCCCCCATTCTAAACCCCATCTGGGACTTAGATGAGGGGCGCTGAGCGAGACCCCGACCCGGCAGGGCAAAGCCGGGAGAGGTGGGGGCGGGGAGCGTTGCGTGCGGGGGACCACCCGCGCAGGGCACCTGGGGGCTGGCAGGTGAGGGTCTGGGGTCCCCGGTGGAAGCAGGCCCTCCACTTCCACCCCCTATCCCGACCCCCGACTCTTCCTACAAAACTGACGCAGGTTTTTCCGCCGCGCGCGGGGCTGAGGTCCGGACCCGTTTGAAGAGGCGCCCACCTTGCAAATTTACTCCCACCCTGTCTCGGGCTCTCCGGACGGTCCCCGCCACCCGCCCCAGAGACCCCCGGGGCCGAGGGGGGCGCGGAGACCCTGCGGGAGGGGACCCCGGGCTGTCAGAGACAGATGGCCGCGGCAGGCAGAAGTGTCGCAGCCCCTTGCTGAGAGAAACGGCACGCAAAGGGGCTCCGGCTGAAACCGGGGGGCGACCGCGGCCAGGACGGCGCCCCCCAGCCCCGTCCCCCCACCGGCCCCAAACTTGAGCCCCGAAACCTGCCCGCCGCAGACCCCCGCATCCCCGGCGCGTCTCCTACCTCCTCTCCGGCGCACCGGCACAGTCTCCGAGCGCCACTTGCGCGGGGAGGCGAGCGCCGGGGGTCTCCCGCCTCCCCCGGCCTCCGGGACCCCCGAGCCGGGCAGGCCGACCCAAGGGGGCTCGGGGAGCCGGCGGGAGACCCCGGCGCGGGGCTTAGGGTTAGGCGGGACGCGCGGCCGCCGGGGCGCACGGGATGGAGAGTCTGCGCGCGGCTGGCACTGGGCGGCGCGGCGCTTCCCGCAGGCGGGGGCGCGGGCGGGGGGCGCTCACCATGGGCAGTGGGCCCGGAAGCCAGCAGGAGCAGGAGGGCGGGCAGGAGGGCTGCGGTCGCGGTCATCGCGGGGCGGCCGGGGTCGCGGTCCCGGGAGCGGCGCTGGCGCAGGTCCGGCTCCGGGCGCCGCGCTGGGCTTCTGGCTGCGCACGCGGAAGGGGGCGCGGACAGCGCGCGGCGAGGGGACAGCCAGGGCTGCGTCGGGGGTCGTGTAGCGCCCTCCACTGCTGCCACCGAGTTGCTACCGCCGGCGTGCGCGCCGCCCTTTTCGTACCTCCCGCCCCCCGGGGCCCCCGCCCCCCGCCCCCGTCTGCGTGCGCAGGAGCCCGGCGCCGACCAGTCGCGAAGACCCCCGCCCCTCGCGGGGCCACCCCACCCCACGGGGCCGTCACGGAGCACCAGGCGCGCGCCCGGGGCGCCCCTGGCTAGGCGGGGGGCGTAGGTACCCCGCGGGCGCTTGGCGCACGTGCCCCCGCCGGGGCGCGTCCCGGGAGTGCATCCCCGGGCGCGCCGGGCACCGGGGGCGGGTCCCGAGCCTGGACAGGGTCTCAGCCCTCGGGCAAGTCGCTGGGCCACGCGCTGGACGCACAGGCGTGAGAGCAGCAGCAGGACCGTGATCGCCAGAGTCCCGAGCACCGAAGCCATGGGGCCCGCACCTGGAAAAACAAAAAACGCGCGCTCGCTGGGCGCAGCGGGCGCCTGTTCTCCCGCGCCCCTGGCAACGCCCGCGAACCAGCGGAGCGGCGCCGAGGAGGAGGAGGGTACGCGGTCCCCAAGCGGCCGGGAGCGCCAGGCAGGGCACAGCTCAGAACCCGTCCCGCTCAAGTGTCCGCAGACCTGAGCCCCGCCTGGACTCAGCACGCACGTGCACTCTGCGCTCAGGGCCAGGCCAGCACTGACCACTCCAGCAACGTGGCCAGGGCCCCAGCCTCAGAGCTGGTGTCAGGCACCCCGGCCCCGCCCCCTGAACTGCACAGGGCACAGATCTGCCCCTGCCACACCCATCACAGGCTCTCGGGGTGGGGGGTGGGGTGGGGATGGGGTCCCAGAGCCACAGATGCGCCGCCCCAGTGCACAAGGGAGGATTGGCAAACACACACTAACATGGGTACACACAGAGACACACAGTCAGAGGCTAGCACAGGCACACAGAGACAGAGACAGAAACACATGTGCATATAGTTGCACAGACACACAGAGGCAGAAACACACACAGGCACAGAGAGAGACAAGGACGGGCAAAAAGATGAAACCAAGACGGTCAGAAATGAAACCACACAGAGAGACACACAGAGAAACTCACACAGACACAAAGGCACTGCCCCACACAGAGACAAATCAGAAATGAAGCCACACAGACAGGCACACAGACACGCTCACGCAGACACACACAGTCCCACACAGGGACAGAGTCAGAAATGAAGCCACACCGACAGGCGCACATAGAAGCTCACACAGAGAAATGAAGTCAGAAATGAAGCCACTCCGAGAGGGACACAGAGACACTCACACAGACTTAGACAGACACACACACAGAGACACTCACACAGACTTAGACAGACACACACAGACAGACACACACACACACAAAGAGACACGAGCAGTGTGGGAGACGAGTCCACACACCAACACCCTCGCCCCTGGCTGCACCCAGGCACACACACACCAGCCAGCCTCGTGGGATGGGGGTGCCCTTCCCAGGGGGTACAAGGACATGGGGTGGGAGACCAGGCCCCGCCCAGGGGCCCACCTGCCCCTGCCCAGCCCCGTCTGTCTGGGGGCCAGCAGAGCGGGGGGAAGGCAGCGGGCAGGCCCCTACGGCGTGCCCGGATGGGCCCAGGGCAGCGGGGCTCCCACCCCCTTCCCTCGTGGCCGCCCAGCCTGGCCATGGCAGGGGTCGGGATGGACCCCTGGGGAGCAGGAGTTGGGGACATCCGTCCTTTACTCGGTCACTCGTCCGGCGCTAAGGTGTCGGTTCGGCGTGGGGCACCCGGAGCAGAAGAGCAGCGTCCGGCAGGCAGAGCCTGGACCTCGCACTGACTGACCGGCTGGTCCAGAGCGCTGGCCACGCCTTCCTGCCCCTTCCTCTCCTCCCTGGGAGGACCCTGACCTCAGCCTCCAAAATTATCCTTTGCAGCAGGTCGGGAAGGCGAGGGCCAGCCAATTCTGAGGAGGGCAGGGCGGGGCGAGGGGCCCGCGGGTCCCCCATGCTAAGTCACGAGGTTTGGGGGAGGGCTGTGCAATGCCCAGTGTACCCAGGACACCCTCGGGGGGGCCCCAGCACCCTTCCCGCCCGGCCCTCCCGAATCCGGGGAAAAAGAGGGTCCCACCTTCCCCACAGGGATTTCTGTCCGAAGCGCAGGGTTCGAGTCCAAAGGGGGCGACTGGTTCCATCCCTCATCCGCGGAGAGTGAGGCGTCACTGTCCCCGCCCAGGGACGCCAGTGTCCCCCATCGAGGGGGCTGGTGCACCTGTCCCGATGGGAACCCGGGGTTTGGGAAGGCAGATTCTAAGTCAGGCCTGGCCCCTTCCACCGCCCCCCCCCCCAACAGCTGCCTCCAGCCTGTGCCCTTGGAGGTGGGGGCAGGGTCCCCGCTCCAGTCTGATCTAGTTCCCGGCAGGGGTGCGGGGGGAGCTGTCTGTCAACGAGCGGTCCCTGGCCTGGCTCGGGGGCTCCGTGGGACGTCTGTGGGACCCCGAGACAGAAGTTGCTTCTCAGGGCTGACTCTGCAGGTTGGCGACCGTTGCTTCACAGAAAACAGAAAAATGCCAGCTGGGTCCCCGGGGGCAGGAGGCCACCGGTTGCCGTTGGCACTCAGGCGCAGGGGGGAGTTGCTCGCAGCCTCCGTTCTCTCATGCCTCCTTCCCCTGCCCGCTGTCCAGAGCAAGAGGACAATGGGTGGGTGGGGGGGCACCCTGGCCCCGGGGCTCAGCCCCCCCAAGGAGCAGAGCAAAGCCCAATCCCGAGTCCTCAGCCAGATTTGGCGGGCGCTGGGGAGGGCAGAGTTGGCCGAGAGAAGCTCCATCTCTGGGCCTTCTCCACCCCCGCCCGCGCGTCAGGACTGAACAGGAGTCCCCTGGGGAGCCAGTGGGGGTGGGGGGAGGCATCAGTCTGTCCTGGGGGCAGCTGCTCAGCACCCCGGAATCTCTAAGCCTGAGACGGTCTCAGCCCAGACCCCCGGGATGATGCGTGAAGATGCCTGCTTTCCCCCCCGACCCAGCTCCCGGGAGGCGGTGCACACATGGGGAAACTGAGGCCCAGAGACTCACAGGTACTGTGCTTTGCCTTGGTTTGGGGGCCACACACCCAGTGGTGCCCAGGGCTTACTCCTCAGCGGGCTTACTGCTCAGTGGGCACTCCTGGTGGGGCTCGGAGGGCCAAATGGGATAACGGGGTTTGAACCCTGCCTGGCTGCATGCTGGGCAAATGCCCAGCCCTTTGTACTGTCACTCTGGTCCCTCATGGGTACTTTGACTTCTTCTTCTCTCCCCGTATCCCCAACGATCCAGCCCCAAAGGGGGCGCTCAGTCCCTGGCCAAGGTGAGGCAGAGAGCCTCGCCCGAGGGTCCCGAGTCCAGGACCCTGAGACTCTCTTTTGTTTTTTTTTGTTTTGTTTTTTTTAGTCGAATGCTCAGGTCTACTCACAGGTCAATCCTGGCTCTGCACTCCAGGGTCATTCCTGGCGGGCCTGGGGGAGGGTTGGGGTGCCAGGGTACCGAGGATAGAACCCAGCTTACCTCCAGCAAGGCATGTGCACTGCCCACTGTGCTATCTCTCCATCCCAGCCCCAAGACTCCCCAAGGCCCCCCGAAAGGCCACCCCATGTGGAGCCAGACTCCCTGACCTCAGCCCCCTCTTGCAGACGGGGTCTGCCCCTGGCATTTTGTCTGATTCTACTTTATTTTATTTTCATTTGGGACCCGCACCTGGCAGCTGCCCCAGACACCTGCTGTGCCGGGTGAGGCAGAGATGGTCCCCGCTTCGTGGGTGGGGGGGCATGGAAGCTTCCTGCCAGCACCCAAACCACGGCCCCTGACCCACACTCAGTGTCCTTATGTCCATGGAGAGAAATTCTCTGGTGGGGGCAGGGGGTGGACGGGGAGCAGGGAGAAACAGGGAGAAACGCCGTGGTTTCAGCAGAGATGTCGCCGGCGTGTCAGGGCGGCCTCTTCAGTCTGAAGTGGCCGGGCCGCCCGGAGCCCGGGACTCAGCCGTGTGTGCGGGGCCGGGAGAGAAGCGGGACCCCCACGCGGGCTGGCATGTGACGCTGCGGGGACAAAGACTGACCCTCCCTCCGCACGGGGCCCAGTCACGCGCTCCCCAGAGCATAATAGAGGCAGATGCGGCGAGGAGGAGCGAGGCCGGTGAGGGTCTCGCCGGGTCGTGAGCCCCTCGGCTGGGCCGCCTGTCCCCCATCGTCATCCACGGCGAGAGGCAAAAATAGATATTTTTTTCTCCGTCCTCCCTGCGCCATTGGGGTCGGTGTGCATTCACAGTTCTGATTGTCCACGTCATCAATCAAAGAATCTCCCTTCGGGCGGCGCTGAGTCATGAGGGTCCTCGAGTTAATCAGGGCTGCCTGCTGCTCCCCCACACCTGAGGGGGGGGCGGGAGGACGTTGGGGGGCCGGGGGGCCGGGGGTGGGGGTGGGGAGGAGAAGCTCTTTTCCTCCTGCTGCCTCGGCGCTGCAGGCCTGGGCCCAGAGTCTGGGAATTCTGCGGCTGTGAGAAATTCCCCGATGTTCGGTTCCCGTCAGGCAGAGGCCGGTCTGCCTGCATGCTACCTTTCTGCCGTCATCCTCTCCGTGGCCGGTGCCCCTGGGTGCCGGGACCCTGCTGGGGGGGAAGGGGGTCAGGGGCCACACAGGGAGGGGGCAGGGCGTTCCCCTTATGTTCAGGGCAGTGGGGAGAGGGTGGAGGGGGGCAGGGGCAGGCAGGGGCTGGAGCAGGGAGGGCACTGGGGTGCAGGGTGGGCCCTTAGGGACCGGCTGTGCATGCGCGTGCAGTTCCCATGAACTGAAACCGGAGGAGCCTTCTGCAGCCCGCACCCTTCACCCCTGCCTGCCTGGCCAGCCCTCCCGGCCACCGCCCCCTCCCCACCTCATTCTCAGGCGGGCACCCTGCCCTCCCCTGCATGGTCAGCCCGGCAGTCCCACTCTTGAACCCCCCACCCCCCACCCCAGCCTCCAGACTCACACACTGCTTCTTGGGACCAAGCTGACCCCGGCCCCC